AGATGCGCCAACACCACGTCCACGTGCGAGTTCACAGCTTGCGACAGCGGGTCCGGGCCGAGCGCGACCTGAACCCTGACTTGGCCCTCCATCTTTTTCGAACCTGGCCCTCTCGGAGCCCGAATCGCAAAGTGGCGGATCATCGGCGACGCGCGTTGTGGTGGCTTGCCTTTCTAGTGCGCCGTGAAGAACTCCTCTGTTTTATGTTGGGCCTCTGGGGGCCCCGAATTCATGGCCGCCCTCGCCGTCGCTGAAAAGATCGCCGCGAACGGCGGCCTTGGACCCGACTGGTCCACATCCTCGCCCGCTGCCTTCTTCTCGCGCGGCATCTTCGCCGCGCCCGCGTAGAACTTGTCTGCGGCCGACCCTCCAACGGCCGACTGCGACCCCGCCGAGGCGGGCCCACTACGCGACGGCGGAAAGCAGCGCCTGTTGGCGGGCGGTGCCCAGGGGCAAAATTGCGACATTCGTCGCCAGGTTGTCTTTGTCCTCGCCTTTGCCCTGTCTTTTCGGCTCCTTCTGTCCGGGCTGGGCACCGTCGGGCCCCCCTTCTGCGCGCCTCTCGGGCGGCGCGCTGTCCTCTCCGAACGTGTCCGCCCCCGCGGCGAGTTGTAGGGGCACGTCGAAGGCGTGCCCGAGCGCGCAGGTTATACTCGCGGGCACTCTGGTGCTTCGGGCCACAAGCTCTACAAACCAATGCTCCATGAACCTGCTACTCCGCGAACGTCATGTCTGCATTTCAAAGGCGTCTTCAGCGAAGTGGGCCCCCCGCCGAGATGTTTGCACGCCGTCGGCCGCTCACCAACGACTTCCTCAGATACTAAATGTTGGTTCCTCAGCGTTAGTGCATGTGGATGCTTAGCGCTGGCATGTGCAGAGTGAATGTGACTGGCCAGTCCAGGCCCACGACTCAAAGTGCCCCCTTACGGGCCCGATTCGTCTTCCCAGGGGCACGCGTGCATGCGCTAAATTAAAAGGGCCCCAGCTTCCTCTACTTCGGGGGCCCCCTGCGAGGGGCCATTGGGGCCTGGGGCAACGTTCGCGCGCGGGGCAGCACTGCGCAGGATAGCAACCTTAATTCGTTTGAATATGGCCGCAAAATCTGGCTCGAACAACTTTTTAACACAACCGCGGATCTCTCGCCAAAGCACTGCGAACTCCTCAGACACCTGCACAAGCTGCTCGAGGTGTGCCCGGGCTCTGCGCGCCCGAGAGCCAGCGCCTGGACGAACTGCCACTCGTTCGCCAAACGCACCCTCTCCGAGGAGGACTCCGGTCCAAATCGCAATCACCTGGCGGTGGGGGCCCGGGGGAGAACGCAAACTTTGAAACCGCTTCAGCCGTCTGACCTGGGCGCGATTGCAGAACGGAGTGGTTTTCCAGCGTTCGAGCACTGGCTGGGGGGGGGGGGGGCAGCGAGCGAGCGCGGCGCTCATCTTCCCAACTGGCTCTTCCCCTCATCGCTCTGCGACGCGAATCAGCCACTGCAAGCTCGCGATTGCGAAATTGACCAGCGTCAGGGATGACGCTCTCGACTGCCGACTGAGCAAAGTAAAGCGCAGCGTTTCCATTCACAGGGGATGATGGGTTGCCGCCAGAAGCTCCCCATCCAAAAGTCAGCCTTCTCAGTGGCCTGGGCGCGTTTCCCGAGCTCGACTTGACTGGCCAGCTCAGCGCCAAGCCACTCACCATTCTCCAAAACAGAAGAAAACGCTAACTGGGTCAAGCGCAGACGAACCTTGGGCGGGCGTAAACATGCGCGGCGCGCTTTTACATCTCTCCCCCAGGGGCCCCCTTCGCGACGCTTCGGGATCCGAAGATCGACGCCGGGGCGAGACGCGCGCGCGAGCAATTTCAACGCGAAAAGATCCCCTTAGAGTATTCCGCATCCTGCGCGCAGTCGACGGTCTCCACCTTCCGCCGGGGTGGATGTACACGCCCGCCTGTGCCCCTGGACGCAGAAACGAACCTCGTCGCCCCGGGCCGCGCCCAGAGCGACTTCGCCCACGGCGCGACACGACGGGGGGGCGAAAGCATTGCTTAGATCCCTCGGCGAAGCTATCCCATATACGCCTGCCTTATTCAGGCGCCTGAGGTTGGCAGCGATCGCATCTTCCCTCCGCCTCCGACGCAAGAGCCCGCGGTCCATCTCAGAGCGCGCGCGCGGCGGGCCACGTTTCATCGCTCGCCCCCCCGAACAGGCCCAGTCCGCGCGCCACTCTTCGCCCGGCAGGGCCAGGCGCAGCGCGCATCTGACGGGCGCATCCTTGGCTGCGCGACCAGAGGCTAGGGCGGGGGCAGGTCTGCCTGGCCAGGGGGGAACTGCGCGCCAGCCAGCTGCCAACATGTTTGCCGAGGGCCGTCGGGGCTCTCGAGCCGAGCCCAGCGCTGCGACGAGGATCCTCCCCAGGAGGCTCACCGACCCCAAGGCCCCGCAACTCCGCGGACAGGGGCCACCTGGAAAAACGCCCCTTCTGATAGAAAGATGCCCCAGGTAGGCTTGAAACGAAGCCACATCCCCCAATTCATCATCTCTATATGATTTTGGTACTCGGTCCTGGCAGTACATCGGCGGCGGAAGGGGGCCGCCTGTGCCCTTCCCTTTCCCGCGCCAGCCACCCCCGCTCAAACCTTGACGCCGACGCCCCCCCCTCTCATCCTGGCTCGGACCACGCCTCAAGCCAATCATTATCAGTGGGCAGTGCGCCTTGCAGACGTGGAAAATCTCGCTTGTCACTTCCGCAACGACCACCTGCGAGTCGCAAGTTCAGACGGTGAACTTCAGCCAGGCTGCGTCGCCCCAACGCCTCGTATCTCCCCTCGACCAGGGTTACCTTGCTTTCTCTCCAATGCCTGTTTGCGCTGCTTCGCACACAACCCCGTCATGTTCTTCAGCGCAGCGCAACGCTCCTCGATCTCCGACGGGTCGCACTCGTGCAATTGTCCACGTGGCTCACGCTTGCGGGCCAGCAACCGAAGACGCTCCTGCTTGTCATTACCAGTGTGTGTCTGTGACGATCGTGCGAACAGGCTCTGCCCAACCTCTCTTCCGCCAGTCCAAATGTTTTGAGCAACGCCTCGGCTGTTTCATTCATTCTCGGCTCCAAATCAAATCCTTCCAGCTTTCTTCCTACTGGAACCATAAACTCATGTCGTTCCCGTGGTCCGCTCAGTGCTTGCATCAACCTATCATTATAGCACGTCACCTCATCATACTCATTTCCATGTGGCACCTCACATATTGGGGCTGCGTGATCTTCGAGGTATAAGCTCGACGCGAACATGAACAGGCAGGTGTTCACGATGCCTCGCGGCAGGTATATACTGCAATGTGTCCCCCATTCCCCATTCTCTCGGGAGGGCCAAGCGACTCCAGCTTCACAGAAATAAAAGCACAATCGCATGATCACCCACACTGGAGTTGCCATTCGAATCGAGCACGTTGGGGCGACCTGTTGCGACGGTGTAGTTGGGAATGATACGTGCTCCTCCGTGAGCTCTCGTAAACGCTGTCCTGCTCCGAATACATGTCGCTCTTGTGTGACTCCGTGTCCAGCCGCTGCTTCCCCAACATTATCCCATTGTCCGTCTTGCTCAGTGAACCCCATGCCGTCATTCACATATGCCATGACGAACACCATTGCCGACTGTGGGGCGTTGCTTACCGCCACGGAAACCCACCGTGTACATTGTTTACAACATGGGTAATACGTTGGGGTAGATTTCTTGTGCGACGTGTTGAATTGGGTAATACATCGTCATCGCGCAGAAAGACATGCCACTGAATCTGAAGTGCCCTCCAATTCCACGGCCCTGCTGCTGGCTGGGTGGTGTGTCAACTATCCGTGGACGTGTCATGAATGTGCATCCTGCGCCCTTATTGCTGAACTGGCTCTTGTTCCAGCCTGCAACCACTGCAACTCTGTCCACTATACGTGTGGTGCGACACGTCTCATCCGTACACGCCTTTGCCTGCATGCGCCCTGCAGCCCGATCATTCCGGAACTCCTGGCCTCCAACGCAATCTCCTCCACGCGCGCACGCGATCCATACAGGCAACTCAAATAGCGAATGGCAAGAGCGAGCGCCATGAGCTGCTAACCAACAGCCGCGTAGCAGTGAGAGCAAAGACTGCCGCACGTGAAGATGTGACACCTCGCGGCGCGCGCACGCGGCGGAAGGGCAAAAACAGCGGCGCTGGAGGAGGAGGAGGAGGAGGAGGAGGAGGAGGAGGAGGAGGACGAGGAGGAGGAGGAGTGGGAAGGAGGAGGTGGAGGAGGAGTGTGGAGGAGGAGGAGGAGGAGGAGGAGGAGGAGGAGGAGGAGGAGGAAGAGGAGTGGGGAGGAGGAGGAAGAGGAGAAGGAGGACGAGGACGAGGAGGAGAGAAGAGGCCCCTGGAGGTGACAGGGCGGCGCCGCATGGAGGCGGCGTCCTGCTGGGGACACGCTCCCCTTGGGCGTGGGGGAGGCCACCGTCCTTGGCGACCTTGTCGAGGAGGAGGGAGGAGAGAGGAGGGAGGAGGGAGGGAGGAGGGAGGAGGGAGGAGGGGGCTGGGGTCAAGGCGGTCCTGTTGATTACTGCGGGCCTCCCAGATGGGGTCAGAGCAGATGGGGTCGGGGGATCGCGCCGCATCGCCGATACATCAGCGATGCATCGGCGATGCATCGGCGATGCATCAGCGGTGCTTCAGCGCCTTCGGCGCGCAGAAAAATCGGGCTCCACATTGAGCCGCATCGCCGATGCATCGGCGATGCGGCGCGACCCTCCGATCCCATCTACTCGGACCCCATCTGAGAAGTCTGGAAGGTTGTCCTGCTGGTTACTGCGACGTTGGGTAAACCAAAAAGGTACCGAGACCGCTCTCCCGGGGCGCGTTCTGACCAGGACCTCGAGGCGAATCCGGCGGTGGCGACGAGGGCCTCCCAGGAGGCCCCCCAGGAGGGGGGAAAACGAGGGAGGGGCAGCGGCAGGGGTGCCTGATCTCCTCCTCTGGGATCTGCGGCGGAGACGAGGAGTTCGGCCCGCGCACTCCCCGACAGGGCAGCGGCCGACGGATCGGACAGGGCTCAGAACGGACGCGGCCGCGAAGAGGGGGCGTCCGGGCCGGGCACGCCACTCCGCCCAAGCCGTATAGCCTGCACGCTCCTGAGCGATGCCGAGGATGCTGCTGGTAATGGCACCGATAGTTATGCCGAGCGAGCCACACACACACACTGAGCAGGGACCGACCGTCCCGGCATTCCTATAGTCCTACCACGAAATGTTCTTAGAGCCCCCAAAATGTTTAGCAAACACCATGTTCTTAGAACATGAACCCGATGTGTTAAAGCAAGACGACCTCAACCAGCAATGCTCTCAGAGCATCCCCTGGGAACCGCCAAGAAGTGTTCTAGAACTTTGCTTGGTGGGACTCTAGGCACGCCAGGACGCTTCGCCATGGCTGGAACACTCCCCTGCGCACTGGGGGGGGGGCCGGAGGGAGGAGGACTGCCCGCGGGCGTGCGTGCGGGTTGTCAGGCCGCGGGGGGGGGGGTCCTGCGAGAGCGGGCGCCCCCCTCCGACGGCACGCGCCCGCGGCCGCCTCCGTCGCCCCATGTGGGGTCTGGGTGCGTGTGCTGCTCGCTCGTCGCCATACGGTCGGACTTGGTCGGGGAGGACACGCGAGGGGACAAAAAGACCCTCCCCCGAGAGGGGCGCACTGCCATGGGAATGTGGGAGGCACGGGTCGCAAGGCACAGGGCACGAGGGTACCCTCGATGTGCCAGGGTCAACCTACTAATCCGGGCCGACTGTATGTGCGTGGAGGATCGGTGAGGACGAGGAGAACGAAGTGGACGAAAATGGCATCTGCTGCTATCTAAAGTAACCCACGGAGGTCGGCAGCATGGACTCTGGATCCACCCTGACTGGAGGGCCCGCAGACCCAAGTCGAAGCGTCGCCTCCAAGAAATAGATGTCCTTCTCGTCGCCTCCGGATTTTCCTGGTATCAGTGGCTCACCCTTGCCCTTCCCGCCGGTCGAGCCCCTCGGGCGCGCTCGCAGCAGGCTCTGCACGAAGAACTTCATGTTCTCCAAGATCTTCGCGTCAGCAAAACCAGCATCAGCTATCGTTGCCTGCAGCTCACCCTGGCCTTCTGCACGGAACTCCAAGAGCGTTCCACCTTTGGCCTCCTTGATGGCCTGCTTCAGGTTTGTCACCACCGTGCCACTCTTAGGGTTTGGCATCATCTTCCTCGGCCCGAGAATCTTTGAAACCTTCATGACCTGAGGCATAACAGAAGGCGTTGCAATGCATCGGTCGAAGTCCAGATTGCCAAGGTTTATCCTTCGCAGGGGCTCCGTGATGCCTGCCATGTCCGCGCCCGCCGCCAGCATCTCCTGCACCTCGTCGTCCGCGCAGAAGGCCAGGATGCGGATCTTGGTGTCGAGGCCGTGCGGAAGGTGGCACGTGCCGCGCACGCTCTCGCGCGTGAGGTCCACGTTCAGGCGTGTCCAGAGGCTGACGGAGGCGCCCTTCGCAGGGAAGGCAAGCGACCTAGACATAATTTCTGACAGGTCCGTGCAGATTTCTTGGATCGGCGCTGGACCCTGCCTCCCTGGCGCGCGGAGCGCCAGGGGCAGCGCCGGAAGCGCCGCCAGGGGTGCCAAGCGCCGATTCAAAAAATCCGCGCGGGCCTCCCAGACACTACGGCGAGGGCATTGGGCAAGGACCCGCTGGATAAGGAATCCAGCGTCGGGAAGCCGCTGGAATGCCGATTAAGGCTTGGCCATGGATATCACTGCCGCCCTCACCACGTAAGGACCCCCCAGGGTCTGAAGTCTCCTGGGCTCATTCCTCAACGAACGCCCCCAACCTATGTTTATGCAACTGCCGTTTTTTTGTACGGCCGGACCTCGGACAAAATAACATCCTTCAAGAACAAGAGACATGAGACCCTCCGCCGGCCAAACTGAAGAACATTCGAGGTTACCCTCCCCCAGGATGCACAAGAGCACCACACAAGCACGAAGAACATCAGGGCACCCTCCCCGAAGCGACCTCGATCTTATACCTCGGTCCGACCGTATCCAGCCTTCTCGGGGAAGACGTCGAAGGCCCTCATCAGGCGGGTCGCCTGGAAGGGAGTCGTGGCCACCGTGGGCTCGTTCGGCCTGACGGTCCTCGCGCTCGTGCCCCCGGCGGCAGCGGCCTCTGCCGCTGCCTCGGCCGCCGCCTGGGCCGCGTCCGCCTTTTGCGGCAACTCGCGGACGCCTCCCATGCCATCTTGCTGGTGACCGTTTTGTCCTTTCCCCCTGTAGCGGTCGTTACCCGGGGGGGGCGGGGGGGCTCGGGCGGGAGGGCAACATTAAACATTAACGGCGGCCGCAGCGTGCACCCGTCAGGTGCGTCTGCGCCACTGGCGCATCAATCGCCTGTGTTACAGCAGCATGCAGGGGGGGATCCAGCCCCCCCCCCCGACAAGATCGTTAGCGTCACGGGGGGGTGGGAGGGTTTGGCCCAGGTAACGAGCGTTACCCTGGGAGGAAAAAACGCCCACCTGGCTCTTGCGAATCGACGCTGACCGACGCTAATCGACGCTAACCGTTGCGAATCGACGATGAATCGGCGCTCGCCGACGCTAAATCGGCGCGTTCACATCGAGAACGAGACGCAAGCGCATGCTGGTGCACTCTAAAGACGGAATTGCGAGGACATACAAGGCGTCCATGACTTGCCACCGAATCCGCCTGCTGCTTCTGCCGGATCTCCCGCAACTTGTTGGCGCGGTGCATGTTGTGGAACGGCTTCCATTTCTTGGTCCGGACCTGGGCAGGATGAATCAGCATCGAATCGGGAAATCGGATCGGATCGGCATGTGCATAGGATGAGGCCGCATTGCATCGAAATCGGAATCGAGTCGGATCGGTTAGGCTAGGACGCACAACAACGCCATGCAAGCGTCGGGTCGCATCGAATCGTCGGAACATCGAAATCGAAACCGATCGAAATGGCCGAAACCGATATCGCATCGGATCGATCGGATCAGAATGGGCCCTGTAATGGCGGGGGGGAAGCCAATCCCTGAGAACTGGGCGAAGGACGGGGTCCAGGGCTCCAGTCGTGACTGCTTCGCGATGGTGCAGTCTTTCCCCACGTCGGATCTCAGGGACTGCAGTCAAAGACTGCCAGAAAGAACTTCGGACGGGGAGCGGGGCCCCTCTGGGGCTTCAGTTGCGCCCAGATGCGCGAGTAGCGCCGGAGGACCATCGAGCCCCTTCCGAAACAAGAGAAAGCTGCACTCCCAAGACACAGCCGGGCCCAGGACACGAGAGCATCCTTCAAGAACGCGAGGCCCTCCGCCGGCCCAAGCTGCAGAACATTCGAGAGTACCCTCCCCCAGGATGCACGGGCATACCCAGCACGCACGAAGAACATCAGGGTACCCTCCTCGAGCCGACCTCGAGCTTGGGCCTCGTTCCGACCGTCATTCACTGCATACCCCAAGCAGCTGTGGGCCAGGCCCGTCATGGGTCCATGGCTAACTCGCTCGCCCTCCTGGCCTGGCCAGGAATGCACATACACCGACCTTGGGCCCAGGCGGGCCTGGCTAGGATCTGCGTGGCATCTGAGGGTGAAGTGAGAATGGATCCTAAAGATAATGGTTCCTGTATCCTGAGGCTTCTCCTGGGACAGGCTTTTCATCCAGAGAAGTTGTTTGCCACGGTCCCACAGCAAATTGCCCCTTGCCCTCGGGACCCTCTGCATTCAGAACCGCTGCTCTTCGCAGCGATTGACGCCCTCCGACGAACCGAAGCCGAGTTCAACGCAAAACTTTCGCCGACCTCATATACCTCCTGGGGTGCGTTCCTGCCAGAATGTCGACGCGAATCCAGCTGTGACCACAAGAGCAGCCAGAAATGCAGCAACAAAAACACGAGACCGTCAATCCTCGGGGAGGGAAACACCAGAAGGAGGAGGAGGAGGAGGAGGAGCAGGAGCAGGAGGAGGAGGTGGAGGGCCCCTGAGCGGCGATTGGCGTAAATGACCGAACCCAGGGTCAGCGCCAGGCCATCGCCTTAGAGAAAATCAAATCGGCCGAAGTGAGTGAGGAGGAAGAGGAGGAGGAGGAGAAGGAGGAGGAGGAGGAGGAGCAGGAGCAGGAGGAGGAGGTGGAGGAGGGCCCCTGCGCGGCGATTGGCGCAACTGACCGAACCCAGGGTCAGCAACAGGCCATCGCCTTGGAGAAAGCCAAATCAGCACCACCCACACCACCACCGTCGCGAGGAGCCAGGGAGGGTCGGTCCTCCTGGAGTTAAGTCGGGCCTGTCCTCCTACAGTGGAATTTTGGACGCAAAATCAAAAATACTAAAACAATACTCCCCAACTGCCCAACAAATAATAAAAAACATAGTCCCCATACGATGTTTTGACTATTTTTGAATTTTCCTCCTGTAGAGGGACAGGCCCGCCCGATTTACTCCTGGAGGTGTGATCCGTCTGTTTTGCAGCGTCCCGCTCGATACACCTCCAATCTTCAGCTCGGGGAAGCATCGTGGACCTCCTCGGGCATGCCCGCTGGTGCCGGCTGCACATCAGAATCACCGTATAGGCTGTAGGCAAGAAGTGCCCTTGCTTCGCGAATCTGCGGGAAAGCTGGTCGGTCACACCCAAGAACGCAAGCAACTGCTATCGCATCGCTTTTCAGCGATCAAGGGACCCTAATGGACCCGCACCGGCTGTCCCGAGAAAGGTCACTCTCACGCGTAGCTGATATTGGCACGAAGAATGCGAATCCTGAGAGAAGTGGGTCCTGAACCTCGGCACTTTCCCCCGGGATCGGCTCTCCATCGGATCGCATCGCCAGCTGCACGAGAGCTGTCTGAAATACAGTGCGGGCGCGGCCGCAAGAAACCCTCGGAAGAAACCCAACCCTGAAAACCCGCGCGCGAGGTGCACCTGAGGGGGACACTGGAGCACCCTGAACACAGCAGCTCCTTCAACGGCAGCGGGAAGTCGCCGAGCAGCGCGCGGAGCGAAGAAACCAAGGATACCATGACGAAAAACATATGGTTTCTTGATGCGCGCCCCCACTGTATCACCAAGCGCCTTCACACCTCGTGGACGCCTTCTGTCTGAACCAACCCTTGGCGACTGCGGTTTGCACCTGCCTGGTGAGGTCCCCTCCTCCTCCTCCTCCTCCGTATCCTCCTCCTCCTCCTCCTCCACCACCTCCTCCTCCTCCTCCTCCTCGTCCTCCTCCTCCTCCTCCTCCTCCCTCCTCCTCCTCCTCCTCCTCCTCCTCCTCCGATCTGCTCTTGAGCCGTTTCGCTGCTGCCCCCGAGGCCGGCCGGGGAGCGGCCCCGAAGGGCCGAGAACGGCGAAAAACCTCAGGACTGCCGTTCCCCTCGGGACCCTACTCCCTCCTCCTCCTCCTCCTCCTCCTCCTCCTCCTCCTCCTCCTCCTCCTTTCCTCGTAATCCTCCGCCTCCTCCTCCTCCTCCTCCTCCTCCTCCTCCTCCTCCTCCTCCTCCTCCTAATCCTCCTCCTCCTTCTCCTCCACCTCCTCCTCCTCCTCCTTCTCCTCCTCCTCCTCATCTTCCTCCTCCTCCTCCTCCTCCTTTCCTCGAAATCCTCCTCCTCCTCCTCACTCACGTCGGCCGATGGCGAGGGCCTCGCCCCTCCTTCCTCCGACCGCGTACAACCAGACCGGACCAAGGACGGGATAACACCATTCACGAACAACAGACCCTCCGCCGGCCAAACTGAAGAACATTCGAGGGGGCCCTCCCCCAGGATGCACGAGAACACCCAACAAGAACAAAGAACATTACGGTACCCTCCCCGAGCTGACCTCGATCATATACCTGCGCACAATCGGCCCGTAAGCAAGGGCCCTGGAAGGACATTCAGAAGCATCTCGAGCGGGGCGCGGCCACGAAAGTGGCCAAGGATGGACCGAAGAGGCAAGGATGCAAGGGTACCCTTGGGAAAGGTGCCCATCCCTCTACTATGCGGGTAGACTGTGAGCCCCGACGCTTCCACCTCATCTCTGATGGTGGTGCCCCGGCTTATCCGGAGGCCTCCCCAAAAGGGCCAGAGCTAATGGGGTCGGAGTCGCACCGCATTGCCGATACACTGGCGACGTCGGGACGGAGAAAATCTGACTCTGGATCGTGCCGCATCGCCGACACATCAGCAACGCGGCGCGGTCACTCCGCTCCGACGTAATGTTTTCACAACGCAACACACGGAGGTCTGTGCACATTCCCCAGGGCTGGCTTCTCAAGGGCGCCTAGCTTCGCGCTTTCGCGCCGCCCCCCAGTGGAGAAAAGGAGGATGAGGAATCGAAGCCGAACCGCAACGCGCGAATCACTTCGCGCCCTCGAGGGCGCCCTTGGCTTCTCTCATCCCGACCAGTGTTTTGCCGACGGCCCCGAGACCGCCAACGGCCAAAGCACCTCCCCTGTCACGATTTCTCGACGGCGCGAGGAGGTCCGGGGGGCAGAGAGCCGCCTTGGACCTGCGCCTTTGAAGAATCAGCGCGCTGGCACGTCCGGGAGCGCTACAGCCATGGGCCCAAACATTCTCCAGATCCCTCGCTTCCTCCCGCTGGCCCGGGTAGAGTCCTGGTCTGCAGAGTCCCGGTTCCTTGAGCCCTGAGCGGCGAGTCGGCTACACACGAGAGTGACCCCGGACAGGGGCGCAACCATTTCTGCGCGGTCTTGGAGTGGGCGCGCGGGGGGAGACCCAAACCGAGCGCGCGAGCTGCTGCTGCCGCATCGCAGTCGGCGATCGCGGGCCCCGATGATGGGCCCACTCCAAAAGTCACTCCGGCGGAGGACCACTCGACTTCACGGACCTCCCTCTGGGCGCATTCTGACTAGAATTCCCTGGGAGGAGGAGGAGGAAAGGGAGGGGGAGGAGGAAGAGGGAGGATGAGCAGCGGTATCGGTACCGTCTTCTCACCTCACCTCCGGAGAGAGGGTCAATCCGCTTATCCGTCGCAGCGCTGGCAGAAGCGATCCGCACGCGCGCTCCAGTGGGCGAAGGGCAGTCCACATCCGACGATGCAATGTTTTCGGTCCGCGGCCCCGGTCCTGTCCACTTCCCTACGGGCAAGAGAGAGAGAGAGAGAGAGAGAAAGAAAGAGAGATGCATATATATATATATATATATTCATTATACGTTTGTATGTATATATATATATATATATATGTATATAGATATATGTGTTGTTTGTGAGGGTGCGCCGCTGGATCTCCCCAAGGGGGAGGGGGGACCCCCCCCCCCTTTCCCCGATCCGTCGTCGGGGAGTCGGGGGAACCCCCCTCCTTTCCTGATCCGTCGTCGGGGACCCCCCCCTCCCCCCGTTTCCCGATCCGTCGTCGGGGACCACACCCCCCTCCCCCCTTTCAAAAAGGGGGGGGGGTCCGAGCCCCCCCTCCTCCCCCCCTTTGGCCGCCAAATTCCCCCCCCCCCTACCCCCCTTTCGCCACGGCGCCCCCGGGCTCCGGACCCCGACCCCTACTACCCACAATGCTAATCCTCACCCTAACCCTGACCCCCAACCCTAGCCCCGAACCCGAACCCTGGCCCAACACAGTACTCACTACTCATTAAACAGTACTACCTACCCACTACTCACTACTCGCTACTCACTACTCACTTCTCACTATTCAGTACTCACTCCGCACGACTCAGTACTCACTGCCCACTACTCACTAGTCACTGCCCACTACTCACTACTCCGTACTCCCTACTCGCAACTCACTACTCACTACTCAATACCTACTATCCACCACTCAATAAACACTACTCACTACGCACTACACACAACTCACTACCCACTACGCACTACTCACTAAGCACTACTCACTACCCATTTCCCACTATCCACGACTCACTACTCACACTCCACTACTCACTACTCACTGCCCACAGCTCACTACTCCCTATCCACTCCTCACTAATCCCGACTCACTACACAGTACTGGCTACTCACTACTCACTACTCACTACTCGCGACTCCCTACACCCTAGTCGCTACACAATACGCACTACTCACTACCCACAACTCACTACGCACTACGGCCCCACTACTCACTACTCCCTACTCCCAACGCACTACGCACTACCCAGTACTCACTACTTACTAAACACGACTCACTACCCACTACTCACTACTCACTAAGCACTACTCATTCCCCTTTGTCCACTTTACATTACTCACTACTGAGTACTCACAGTTCACTACTCATTACCCACTGCCCACAACTCACTACTCACTACCCGCTGCTCGCTACTCCCCATACAGTACTCACTACTCGCTGCTCCCTACTCGCTAGCTGCTGACAACTAGTCACAAGACGCTGCGCTACTCACTACTCACTATTCAGTACTCACTACTCACGACTCACGACTCACTACCCACTACGCACGACTCACTACGCACCACTCACCTCGCAATATCAACTACCCACTACTCACTACGCACTACTCACTACCCACTACTCCCTACAGCCGACCCCGTACTCACTAGTCGCTAGTCACAAGTGGCTACTCACTACTCACTATTCAGTACTCACTACTCACAACTCACGACTCCCCACTCACTACGCACTACTCGCTACTCCCCACGCACTACCCACTGCCTCGCTGCTCACTACTCGCTACTATCGACCCACTACTCACTACTCAGTATTCACTACTTACTACTGTCTACTGTCTACTGTCTACCCACTACTCACTATCCCGAGGCCAGACCCCCCCCCTTGCGGGAGAGGCCCTCTCCCCGGCCCCCTGTTTGGCGCAAGGGAGGGTAGGAGGGGGGGGGTCGAACCCCCCACCCTCCCCCTTTCCAGCGCCAACGGGGGATGGAGGGGGGGTCCGGAACCCCCCACCTCCCTTCAAGGGGGGGGGGGCGGTTTGGACCCCCCCCCTCCTTAAGGGGGGGAGGGGGGGTCGAAAATCTCACTCCCCCTTTGAAGGGGGGGAGGGGGGGGGGGGTCGGACCCCCCCCCTTTCAACTACAGGGTGATCCAGTGGCGCGCTTTCGTTGTTTGTAAATACAAATGACATGTTTTAATTTTCGTTCAAGAAATAGTATATGAAAAACGCCCAGGTGCAAAACGTCCGAACGACAGAGGTCTGGGCACGTGTCGGGGCAGGGCGGACTGAGGCACCGGGATTTCACAAACGGGCCCCCGACTTATGATGTTCCAACCTGCCCTAGCCTTGGTGAATGTTTTCGTATTTGGCGTCTCGACATTGGGGGGAAAAGGGGGGGAGGGGGGGGTCTGGCTCCGGACATTAGCTTAATGGTCTTTTGGCAATAGTGCGTCGTTTGGGGGAGACTCCATCTGCTTGAGACAGGGCCAAAAACAGCGCAGACCTGCTCCATGGGGGGGGATGGGGAGGGGGGTGCGAGGGCCCGCGCGAATCAGCAAACAAATTAATCAGAAAACGATCACCATGTCGAGCACCAAAAAAGGTGCCGAAACTGGCCAGGATTTTCGCGTGTCGGGCCCTGGGAGGCGATACTCGCTCGACACTTCGCTGGCGTGTCAGGCAGGCACTGTTTCGCTACTTTTGGGGGTGCTCGAGATATTAAACCTGGGATGTGGTCCTCAAGTACGATGGGAGCAACACAGCCCTGGAGCCTTCCTTCCCGGGGTCCGGGCGCACCAAGCTTCCCGAGCTGCGCCCAGCTGTGGAGGCGAACGGGCCCCCCCAAAGGCCAACTGCTGCTGTCTCCTGTGTCGAGGAGCCTAAGGACACGCAATAAAATATACACACACACGAATCCCAGGATTCCCCATATTTTCATATTTTCTGGATTTTCTTCCCCCCCACTTCCCATATTTTCCCATGTTTTCTTGGGAGTCGAAGATTAATTGCGTCTGTGTGTCTTTTCCCTCCTGACTGTAACCTTTACTCGCCACCACTCCCGCGAAAGGGCACTCCTACGCTGAGGCCTGGAGTTGGGCACCAGCACCAACACATGGGGGCTGACCTCGCTGGCGGAAGCTGATCCTGGAAGACGATGCTGGTGGTAACATATGGACCGCCCAGACAGCCCGAACGGTACCACCATCACCGGGGTCAGCATCCCCCCCCCGCGGTGGAGGCACACCGCCGCTCGTGCTGTTGGCGCCAACCTCTGCGGTGAGAAACTTTTGGACAGCGTGTCGCCCCGGCGGCCCGGGCGACATGCCCTGGCGACACGATGTGCCTTGCAAGCGGATGTGGTGTCGCTCCGCTCCGCGGGGCGGGAAGCTCGGGACAGCTCGGGACGTTGACGCTCGGGGACTGGGACCTGGATATAGGGCGACGAAATCTATACATATCCACTGCTCCCTGGCCAGGCCCAGTCTGAACCCAGCAGCGGTGTACACGTCGCGCCCTCCTGGCTCGGCCAGGAGGGCGTATACACAGCTCCCAGGTTCAGGCTGGGCCTGGCCGGGGAGCAGTGGATATGTATAGATTTCGTCGCCCGATGGATAGCGTGACGCGCCGCAGAATGGTGGGCCAGAACCCGCGGAACGAGACATTTTGGGGACACAAAAAGAGGCACCGATGCCGCCAAGTGCTCCCCAGACCTCCCCTGGGGAGTGCTCAGACCAGGATTTCGAGGCGAACCCGGCGGCGGCGACGGTGGCCTCCAAGGAGGCTGAACAAAAAAAGGGTAACGAGAAGCGGTATGGGTGCCTGTTCCTCCTCCGAGGTATCCCAGAATTCTCGACCGCAGGCCCCGATATGACAGGGGAGACGTCGACCCATCTCCGAGGCTGGGTGGGGTTTTCGGATGGACCAAAACCTTGGAGCCCAACCCTAGGATACGCGATGGGGGGCCGTCCATCCTGGGTAAGGGTTCGTCCGAATTGCCACCCTGGTGTGTATCCCGGAGTTTCCCCATTCTTCTGGACGACCAAACTTTTCGGGTGGAACTCGGGGATCGGGGGAGCAAAAACAGCCTGCCACGATAGGTGCAGTCGAGGTTGGGCGCGAAGCAATGGAGGGGCGATACACGAGGGGGCATGAACGGTGCACTTTGGGGGCCCCAGAGGCCCCCCTTCTGGGCCGTCAAGGGACTCTGCAGGGGCTCTAGACAGGGCGCCTTTTCGGCAGCCCTCGCACCCCCCCCCAGTTGTCGGCTACACGCAAGAGTGACCCTGGGTAAGAGTGACCTTTGGTGCGCGGCTGTTTGGGGGCCGCGGGGAGACCAAACCTGGGCGCGCAAGCCGCTGCTACCACTTCGTTTTCAGCCATCTGAGGGCCCATCTGTCCCCGCACCACAAGTCACTCTGGCGAAAAGTAATTTTTACGTCTAACCGAATTTGCGGCCCCCCCGTTCCGTCGCGCCCGACGAGAGAGCTCCTCCCCCCCTCTGCATCGCCAGCCCGCCAGCCCAGCGCCGCGCGGCACGGCGCCGCGGCGGCCCGCCTGGGCGCGGCGCGGCACAGCGCGGGGGCCGCCCACATGGCGCGCTGCTGGAAGCGCTCCAGCGGGCAGCTCGCGCCCGGGGGGGGGGGGGAAGCCGCAGGCCACGGCCGATGGGGCGAGCTCGGAGGGGCTCGATCCCAGACCTCCGACGCACGGCGAGGGCATTGGATACTCCAAATCCCTTGTTGATCGACCCCCCGAAAAAAAACTGGACCCCCCTCCAAATGCAACCTAATATTCTGGACCCCCCTCTTCGACGGGGCGCCTTAATAAACCGGACCCCCTAAGCTCCAATCCAAAGAAGGCGCCCCAATAAACAGGATACCCCCAAGTACAACATTATCCCGGCAAAGCAACCTAACAGCGATGTGTAAAAACATAGCTGGAAGCATTGCCTATGGCATTCATGTAGGAGTGTTGGTGTAGATTGTTTTGTTCTCGCAGTCGCATTCGGATTCGCAGTGGCAGTCGCAGTGGCAACATCAGTCCCAGTCGTAGTCGCACTGGCATTGTCAGTAGTTGCAGTAGCAATACCTACAGTAGCAGCAGCAACAGCAGCAGCAGCAGTAACATCAACAGTAGTAGTATCAGTAATATTAGCAGTGACGGTAGTAGTGGTAACAGTGAAGTAGTAGTTGTAGTGGGTGCAGCGAACGAGAAGTAAGAGTAGAAACACTATTAGCAAGAGTAGTACAAACGAGACACTTCGATCAATCAGCACATCTTCGAACGAGACACTGCTATCAATGGGTGGACTGTCGAACGACTCATCGTTTTCGAGAAGTGAATCTCCAAATGAGATGTTTGTATCAATTTATTGAAGTCTAAACGAGACGCTGCTATCAATGGGTGTAGGTCCAAACGAGGCACTGCTATCAACGGATTGAGCCTCAAACGATACACTTGTATCGAGGGAAGTAGCCTCAAAACAGAGACTCCTATGAATGAGTTCGAAATCGCAATAGTAGGAGTAGTATGGGCACGGACTCGTAAGACGTGAGTGTCCACCGGGGTTCTCGGCGAAGCCAGTGATGATGATGATGATGATGCACGAAGACCACGAAGTGGCTTACAATTGGCTCCGGGCACCCAAAATGTAGCCCAGGAAGGGAGTTCTGGAAACTCGAAGACCACGAAGTGGCCTACAGTTGGCTCCGGGCATCCCAAATGTGGCCCGGAAATGGAGTTCTGGGAACTCGAAGACCACGAAATGACTTACAGTTGGCTCCGGGCATCCAAAATGTACGCCGGGAATGGAGTTCTGGGAACTCGAAGACCACGAAGTGGCCTACAGTTGGCTCCGGGCATCCAAAATGTACGCCGGGAATGGAGTTCTAGCAGCGCCAAGAGCGATTTTGCGAGGATGTCCCAAGCGATTTGGGCTTCGGCGGCAGCCGCCCCGGGTGCCGCCCCGACCCCCCTGTGGAGTCATCTGCTGCTCTCTTTTGACACCACTAGAAACCTATCAGTCTTCGCTGTTAGGTAAAAACGCCTTAAAAAACCAGACGCGGAGACAATTAATAAGGGATTGGCAGGGACCATTGGATACAGTCGGAGGTAGGCCAGAAGAACACTCCTCAAGAGCGTGAGAGCTTCCGCCGGCGAAAACGAGCAGAACATCCAAAGGCACCCTCCCAAGGATGCACAAGAGCATCCAACAAGCACAAAGAACATCGGATAGACGGCGCGCCCGGGGTGGATGTGAGACGGGGCGGGCCTTCTCAGAAGGCTCGGAGGTCCCCTGGCCTTCTGAGGCGTTTCCTAAGCCTGCCCCGAAGACACAGGAAACTTCTCAAAGGACGGGAGGGCTTCTGGTAAGTCCCGCCGCCTTCTGAGAAGGCCTTCTCCTTGTCACTCCCCCCCCTCGCTCGCCGCCGATCGAAGGGGCTGGATCCCAGACCTCCAACGTACGGCAAGGGCATCGGATGAGGAACCAGTGGATAAGGAATCCAGGATCTGGAAGCTGGTGGAACTCCGATCGTCCAACGGCCATGCGCATCACCGCCGGCCTCATCAGATAAGGAGTCCTCCAGGGAACATTCCTTAACCAACAGCTCCAACGTGATGAAGAGTTCAGGATAACGCGCCACGGGGAAAGAGTAGGGACTTCCTGGGACACTGTACCCAAACAATCAATACATCAGAACTTTGGGACGTGTGCACCCCGCCGTTTATTTGTCCACGTGGCCACTCACTTAGGCGAAGGGATTCGGCGAGTACGGTTGGGAACTTTTGCTTTCGCTGCGCCCTGCAAGCGGACAGCGCGTCGCTCCGCTTCGCCGGGCGGGAGGCTCGGAAAAACTCGGGACGTTGACGCTTGGGGGCCAGGCTACGTGCTTAGCGTGTTGCGTCGAAGCGTGGTGGGCCGGAACCGGCGGCGCGACGTGCAAGGTAAAAGATCCTGACCGAAGACGCTCCAGTATCCCATAACTCTGGAAGCCGGGGCGTCTATGCACCGAGCTCCTTGGCCGACCAGGGGGCGCAGCGTGAGATCCGACGTGACAACAAAACATCTAAGATAGTGAATCAAAAGCACCACTGGAACCCTGGATCCCATCTTCCTGCGGCGTTGTTCGAGCCGGATCGATCTGTGATGGGTCCGAGGCCCAAAACAAGGCCACGTCGCCCGTGGTGAAAAAATGCGACGCCAAGACCTCAGGGTGGCGCATGCTTCGAGACCCTCCCACGATCGGGGCAGCCTGGTGACGCCAGGCTCGCAGAGGCCCAGACACCCGGCGCCTCGAACACAACATTCGAGTAGGGGATCGACTGCCGAACTGATGCGCCCCAATATTGATTCCCCCGCCGAATCTGCAACACATGCGCAGAAGGCCCCGCAGATCTACGAACATTCTACGTCGTGTTTCTCGACTCGGCGGGAACATGAATTCTGGGGTACGTCTACTCAGCACTCGATCTTCTGCTCGAGACATCGACGCGAACGAACACCGTCGCCATGTGTCTGGCCCTTTTCTGGGGACCCGGCGCATCGGGCCCCCGGGGCCGCCCCCCAAAAACGCTCCGGGACGACAGGGGCTCTGCTCTGGGCGAGGGGGTCGAGGAGGCGAGCAGGTGATCGACCACAGCATCGATGTGCACGTCGTTTATTTCTAATCGTGCTCATTTCCAATTGTGCTCGTTTCTAATTGGTCCTGGCCCCCAGTGGCCAGGACGAGGCCCAGCATGGAACAATTAGGAATGCAAGGATCTTGCCCCCTCCCAAAGAATCGAAGAACTCTCGAAGAATTAGAAATGAACCACGTGTACTCCAGAGGGGATCTGCCCGTCGGATCCATGAGCACTGCGTGGCACGTCCGTAGATCCACACACACACACACACACACACTCGGCGCACCACTCGGCGAGAAGCTCCATCCCGGGGCAACATTCAGTGCTGCAGCCTGTCGCCCACCCGAAGGAGGGCTGGAGAGCCCGCGCAGTCCGGGCCCCGCAGAAGCATGGGCCGCGACAGGCCAGGGCTATCGCGCACCCGAGGGGGCTGCAGCCGCGGGTCAAAGGTGCCTCCGCGCTGCCGCCTCTCCTGCCGGAACTTCCGAATGCGGGGCCGCGCCAGGGCTGTGGATGCCACGGCCATGGGCACCCGAACAGTCCTGTCATCGAATTAAAGATGTGCTTCAAATGTAAGAACAAATGCCCTGAAAATGTTTAAAACATTTCTCCATGTCTAAAACAGTTTGAACACACTTCTTGACATCTGGACACTACTTGGCCGCATGCTTCCTCTCCATTGATCGTCCTCCACAACTCTACCTCCTCTCCTGCCGGATCTTCCGAATGCGGGGCCACGCCAGGGGGGACCAGCTCCGAGGAGGAAAGCGTCGAGCCGGAATCGGCGATGCGTCTCCGACAGATCGGCGACGGGCTCTCGATTGCGAGCCCGCACGATCCTAGGGGGCGTGGGCTCTCAGTTTCCCATCTCGGGCGCATGCTGACTGCAGGGGAACTGGGACACACAAAGAAATAGACACAAACAACCAGATTCTCCATATTTTCCTACATGTTCTGGGTTTCTGTCTTCCCCCCCCACTTCCAATATTTTTCAATATTTTTTGATGGAATCGACGACTAATTGTGTCTGTGTGTTTTTTTCCCCTCCTGACTGACATGGATTAATGATCCGTGGATGTGGCGCGTGGACGCCAGTGCCATGGATCGGGCAAGGTACCCTCGGCACAGGAGGCCAGTGCCGCCTCATTTGGCGACGCGATGTTGTGTGGAAGCGGGGCTCGTCGCTATCCCACGCGCCTTAGCCCATGAGTAAGCGCACCGTCGACCAAGGAGGTGGAGGAGGAGGCGGAGGAGGAGGAGGAGGAGGAGGAGGAGGAGGAGGAGGAGGAGGAGGAGGAGGAGGGGGAGGAGGAGGAGGAGGAGGAGGAGGAGGAGGAGGTTGGGGGCCAACGCATCCCCCCTGAGCCTACCCCCCCTAGCGCTGCCCCTGGACGGAAGGGTTCCGGCTCGCAAGGACTTGATTTCTGGGGGGCCCACGCCTCGATGCTCCTCCACCACTGACGTCATGAATTTCCAATGACGTGGACCCCCAGAGGCCTGGACCCCCTCCCCTGGACGGGGCCTTCGTCCCGAGTCCTTGATCGACGGTCTCGAGGCCCGGCGAGGGCCTCCATAGGCCGAGAGTAGCGTTGTGGATGCCACGGCTGTGAGCACCCTAACAGTCCTAGCATTGAATTGAACATGTGTGTAAAATGTCGGAAACATGTTCTAAGCATGCTTTAACTATATGTTGTTTACATTACAACATGTTGGAGACATGTTCTAGACATCTGGCAATTATGTGGCCGCGCGCTTCCTCTCCACTCAGCGCCCTCCACAAGCGCAGCGGAATGCTGCCCGTCGTGATTTCTGCCGTGGCCCGCGGAGGCCCTGGATCGGGGATTTCCTGACCCAGGTCAATCCAGACCCGGGTCACCAGGAAACCAAAAACTGGAATGCAGGAACACAAAAACTGCAACGCAGGTCTTCGCAAACCCGGGTCAGCCAAGAATGCGCGGCGGCCTCGCGGCAACGAGCGGCTCGCTAACCCAGGTCAGCCAGAGGGGGCCTTCGCAGGATCCTGCAGGATCCGGTGCCGGTGCCCTGGCTGACCCCCGCTTGCATGTACGTGTGCAT